GGCGTTGCCCCTCAGGCGGGTCCTTACCCGTCTGTGACCAGAGGCCTCCCAGGTATCCCCCACGTGATCAAAAAGCTCTGAGCTCCAACCAGCGGAAACACAGAGAGGAAAAAAAACGGACCCACACCGCAACATCCACTTCGAGGAGGAAGGCTCAAATTACCGTATTTCTGGCTCGACGCGCCCAGGCTCGCGCCTAGAAGCAGCAGGCCGTCGGCCGTGGCTCCAGGGACTCCGCAGCCGTTGCACACGGGGATGGGAACGGGCGCGGACTGGGCCGGCGGCGGGGGGATGTTGGGCCAGGCTTTCCCCGCTTCCACGGCCAGAGCTCTGGAAGGCTGCAAGGGACGGTTAAACCTCGATCAACAGAACCCCCACCCGGCTCGCGGCGCCGATCTGGATCACGGGAACCACCCAGCACCCATTCACGCCTGGCGGTCTGTCGGAGGGCCGGTCTAGGCTTTCGGTTGTTAACGTTTGGCTTCAAATGTCAAAATGCCGAGTTTGTTTACATCTACCTCCGATACAAACAAACAAACAGAAATCGCCTGGAGAGCATTCCCAAACCCACGTCCTGAAGGGGCAGTCTCGTTTGGCGAACACACTCTCTTTTCCAAGAAGGACTCAAAAGAACTATGTAATCATTACCAGCCAGTTGATTTCGGCAATCTTTAGCTTGCAGCTTCATGAAGTCTGGCAAGGCTCCCAAAATGTTATCTAAGCATGGACATGTTCTAAAATTCTTTTGCTAGTGCACAGTGCTCAATTCTTTACCCCCCCCCCCCGGCTTTTCACAGTGCTTAAATGCGTGTCAAGCACAAGAGCTGGATTTATTTCAATATAACCTTAGATAACAGCTCTTGGAAGCAAGGAGGAACATAAACCACCCTCCATCAATCACGCCTGGCAATCATTTTGGGTAAAACTGCATTGTCCTCCCTCCCCCCCAGCTAAAGATGATCGAGAAACAGAAAAGCACAAACCTTTCTCAGACATTCCCTGCAGTAGTGAGTGCCCTTGAGACAGACTGTGCGATCGACATTCAGGTGCAAGTGATTGGTGCAAAGGTGTGCAGCAGAGGAGAGGTGTGCCCGTGGTCCGAAACGCTGGTCCCCTCTGCCTCCCGGGCTGAAGTCCACACCGCAGGGGTAGTACCCCGCGGTGGCCAGGCAGTCCTGGTGCACCGGGGCCGAGGGGCCGGCGGGCAGGAGCCGGGCCCGGCTGAAGGACGTGGACGCGGCGGGGAGGGAATGCAGCTGGCCGAGGAGTCCCGCGCAACAGGGCAGGTGCTGGTGCGCCGC